CACCTGGGACAGCAACCCTGTGGATCATGACCCCATCAGGATTGTCTTCTCTGATGGAAAAGTAGGGCTGAGAATGGAGGTATCTGGTCCGTTCTTCAATGACCCAGCAGCTCCTCCAGGGGAACCAGGACTGTCCTTCCCTGAACTCTGGAATTATGAAGGTGGGTAAGAAAATAGACCATTTCTGTCATAGCCGTGCTACTATTTGTTTGTGCTTTTTTCACATTTGCCAAATGTAATGGAGAAAATAGTTTTTAGATCATTTCAAACAAGGATGTTACTACTAGTTACACATAGTGTAAATAAAATTATTTTATATTATTCTTTATTATTTTATTATTTTCATTAAAAAGTTTACAGAATAGTTGTTAAAAAGGACGAAACAATGCACAAAACAAGTAACATGCAATGCATTGTTTATTTATTTTGTGCACCTACTTAAATTTAAAGTTTTTTTTTTTCCCAAAAAACATTATTACTAACTAAGATGGCCCTTTTATAATTCATAATGTTTTTTAACAGGCATGCTGTAGATCTACCCCCACCCAAAAATATATTAATAAAAAAATAACATATTTCCTAAACATTATATAACAAGCTAATGTTCCACTGACAAACTCTGGAAACAATCTGAAAAAAAAAAACAACAACAACAAACAAACATGTAAAACTCATTGAAGTCACCTTGCTATCTCACTGATACAGATTGCACACTTGCACATGTCTTTATGGTTCTTGCAAGTGCCTACACCCACGCACCACCTCCATAGTCCAGTTACAGTAAAGCAATTATTTCAGATCTGATTAAGTAATTAAATGTGTGTGATGCAATTTCAAGCCATTCTAAAAGCTGAAATAAAACTGCAAAGATAGTTCATAGCAGTTTGGGAGACAAGGGTTCTGACACCTGGCCACATTTATGATTACTATTATGGTAACTGCATTATCATTATTTTGGTAATACATAGCAATTAAACTTTTATAATGAGGTTGAATAATAACAATCCAGTCTAATTGACCTTAAAGAAGTTTGATGTCTGGTAAATGAGCCCCCCTCATTTGGCCTCATTAATGTTACTTAAAAGATAGGAAACCATTATAGTTTAGGTAGATAATGAGTTTGTTGCTTGGTTAGTGGGAGAGCCGGTGGTTTTCACTTATTAAAAAATTGATTTTAYATTGTTTTTATTCCAGCATAGCCTTGCTCGTTTGTTGTACTGTAACTTAAAAACAAGACGCAGTGATTTAATTATAGTCTGCTTTCTTCTGCTAAAGTTGCTGATAAGATTATTAACAGCTGTTAAGCAGTTTATTAATGTAAGAATAAATGTCTTATCTTAWTTTCCCTTCATTATCTTGTCAGTTGTGGAGTCTTTCTTCCTTGATAGCACAACTGAAAATTACCTTGAGGTGGAGCTTTGCCCGTAAGTTTCAAAGCTAAGCTGTTGCTCTTTTTATGTGCATGACCTTGTGTTAATAAACAGTTTCATCATCAGATACACTTTGTTTTCACTTTAGGCATGGACAGCACCTTATACTGCTACTTTCAGGAGTTGGCAATGCATTTCTGGTAGGCTGAAGCCACATAAGTATGTTAGGATTTATTTTTCTTTTTAAGTGTTTCTTAGTTTTCTCTCATTTTTCCCCCTTTCTCCAGCAACAACTTCCAATTATGTTTACAACCACGAACACAGGGGATACGTGGAAGGGTGAGGCTCTAATCCCATGGACATACTTCCCTCCCAACGTCAACAAGATGAACTCGTATGCTATTCATGGCTCAGGAGAGAAGCGCACGTATGAGGCTCTCTACTCCATCCCCAAAGAGGACATCGTGGAAGGCCAACAGCCTAACTTGTGAGTATGCTGGCTTATAGAAAACAGTTCAGGGTCTCGTACATCACAAACCAGGTGATCAGCTGTTCAGACAAGAACGTTTATAGGCACATTCTGAGTGTTATAACACAGCATGTCAGTATAAGAAAAATGCATTATGGAAAACAGTAAGCAGAGCTAACAAAGACTGCTTCACAACTATAATGAAAATCTGACAACAGTGACACGAAGATGCTGAAAACAAGAAAACAAGACAACAGACCATGTCTTACAACACTTAGAACAGGGTTCCCATGGGTCTTTGAAATCCTTGAAAGTTTGTGAATTTGAAAAAAAAGATTTTACGGCCCTGGAAAGTTTGTGAAAACAGCCAAAAATTACACTTGTCCTTGAAATTCCTTGAATGCTTTTTGGGGATTGAAGCTCTCTATTCACACGACTGATTTTCATCCTCTGGAAAAGGATGGCAGTGGATAACTCAGGATTACGGTAAACTGACGTTGCTTTCGATCAATAACGTGAACCATAGTCAAAGTTTTAGCCAATCAGAGCAGAGTAGGGCGGGTCGTTTTTTTCTGAGCCCAGGTGAGAACACCACAGCTCCTGTTCTCACCAAGGGTCTGGACATGTTCACATTTCCTCCTCCTAAACTGAACTGCCCAACCTCCCAGGACATAATTACATGTCTGTGTATTGTGGATATGAATGAAGGGTAAACATTTAATCCACTTTCTTTCATTGATTCTGACTCAACAACTTTTATGTTGTTCAGTTTTTTGTTGAATTTACATATTAAACCTGTTTATTGACAACAATCTGCAGTAACAGTAGGTAATTGCCGTCGCGTGTGGTTCTTGAATTTGAGGAAATTGGTACCGGAAAGTCCTTAAAAGGTCCTTGAATTTGATGTTGACCAAGGTGTGGGAACCCTGTTAGAAATACACAAAACAAGCAATTTAGTTATTTTTGATTTGAGAGTTTTCCTTATCTAAGGATGTGCACAGAATAAAAAGAAGCTTCTGAAAAGAGGGTGGGCAGACTGAGAAAAGTCTCTCCCAGCTTGTTGAAGAAAAGCTAACAAGAGATACATGTACACACCTGTAACCATACTGCCACTAAAACCAGTAATCCTGAAGTTGCTCAGACAGTGATGATACATGCAGAGTCCTTTCTGTAAATAAATAGAAAGGAAGCCGTTTTTTCAGAGAACCAGTGGATTTACCACGTAAGACACACAAGTTCCTCCCAAAAAGTTCTCTTCTTTTCCTCTGTGTCATATACTCAGATACAGTATCATTAACCAGATCAGTAGTTAACTGTGGCAGCWATTGATCTGAATAACAAAGCTATATACTGTATGTATGTATATATATTAAACAATAAACCCATAAAGTTTCTCCTGACTCCTCAGTAGTCAGCAGTTTGTACCCTTTACTGCATCATAAAATTACCTAAATGATATTGTGGAAAACATTTTGATTGTATTATGAAACGTATCGTGATAGATTTATTTTTCAAACTTTAGTTAGTTCCAGTCTAAGTATAAAACTTTTAATGTTTTCATTTTTTTGTTTTTGTAATGTCTGCAAATCATTTTATAAATGCTTATATTAAAATTATAAAGCAATAAAAATACTGCCTTACCAGTATATGTAGATGTGTTTTTTCAGGATTTTCAGTGTGTTTTTGCAATTTTCGTTTTATATAATTCTATCTTCTGTCTGTCTCTCAGCCACCGCCTCGAGTATTTCCAAAATTTCCGCCTTCAGAGCATTATGGGAGAGGACTGGGTCCAGCCAGAATCTGATCTGTGGAAGGGAAGGGCCTGAGCTTCACCTAATTTCTACTTTGCTTTTAAAATGATTATTTTTTTGCACACAGACACACCCCAGCAGCAACAGGGCAATAGTGCAAATAGTCTTTGACAGCAAACAAAGGGCAATCAATCTTTATTACTTAATGATGCAAAACGATATGACAAGAAATGCATTATCAGCTTGTCATCCCGCGTTAGACTTCACACACATCTGTGCGGGCGCGCCGACACACACACATTTGTGCAGGCGTGCGCAGACACACACATCACATAATATTGGACATCAGCTTAAATTGCCTGAGCCAAGTGTGACCTACAGCGCTTATGATGTGCTTGGTGACGAGGGATGCTCATTTTGACATTCAGCTCCTGCGTAGCCTGAATTTTTCACTTTGTTGAGATAACACGCTACAGATCCCAGTGATTCTTTGCCCTGAGTTTTAGAGAACACGCACAATGATTCTCAAATAACTAATGTGTGAAATGTGTTTCTGAAAAATTAAAAGAATAAAATTTGTTTTTGATTTTGATGTTTGTTTGTGAGCAATTGACATAAATTTGACAAAAACCTTTACTGCAAATAGATATATGATTTTATTTATTAATTTATTTTCCATTTCTCTTTCCTGACACAGCTAATTTAGCTGCTTAGTTTAGGTCAGCGTCTGGTTCGGGCTCCCTGGTTGTTGTATGATCATAAATGGAGCATGAACCAACTTTTAGAAAAATAAGAAAATATTTACTGGACAGATTTTAATGACACTCTCAGAAAGTAATATTTGAATGTACATTAAAGTAACTTGGGGAGTCATTCTAATTCAAGATAAATTGCTAGAAATAACCAAAAAAGAAAAAATAAGTAGGTCATCTGGATGGGTTCTTCTTTAGTGAAAYGTTTCRTCTCTCCTCCAAGAGACTTCTTCAGTCTGATGAGTTTCAGGTGAATTCAGCCTTATAAGCACTGCCTCCACCTGGACATACAAGTTGGTCACATGCAAAAGAGGGCCATCGACTAACAATAGGCTTGATTATCTCTATTGTTCATAGAGGGTCATGTGCCCCATCACCTGACTTATTGGTTTGGATGCTTCAGCTGTGTTTATTTGGTTATTTTGCCGAAGCATTCAAACCAGTAAGTCAGATGATGGGGCACATGACCCTCTATGAACAATAGAWCTAATCAAGCCTATTGTTAGTCGATGGCCCTGTTTTGCATGTGACTAACCTGTTTGTCCAGGTGGAGGCAGTGCTTATAAGGCTGAATTCACCTGAAACTCCTCAGACTGAAGAAGTCTCTTGGAGGAGAGATGAAACGTTATGAACCCATCCAGAGGATCTACTTATTGTTTTTTTTTATTTATTTTTTCTACCTGGATTACTGAGATGCATCAGGACTGTATGAAATAACATTGTTTTCAAATTTAACCAAAATCCGTCTTTGTCTAAAACTAGTATGAAAGCTGACAGGCATTACTTTCAAGAAATGTTAGGCTTTTAATTATATCATGAAATGACACTCAATGAAATAAACAGTAATAAAGGTTTACTTAAATGTTTAATTACCTATTTGTCACACTCCTCAGCTTCAGTATAAATATGAAAAATCCCACTTGTTTATGTTCCCCACGACAGAGCTTCTTACAAAGCGTAGTATTTTTACTATATTGTCACACAAATGGTGACTCGGGTGTGCGCTTCTCCTGACCTCTGGGAGTGTCACCGCTTTGCCCCGATCCAGCTCCCGACAGAGGGAGCGTGTTTATCCTGAGCTTCGTTCAGATCACCAAGTAGCAAACCGCTTCTCCTGAACAGAAGCCGAGGAGAAGGAGGGTGATTGATTTTCATGTTGGCTGTGTTGCCCTTCGCTGCGGCAGCCCAAAAGCCCATATTGAGCCCTATCAGTTTTAATTGGCATCCTCGCCTTTGAAATGGGAGCTGTGATTAGGCCTGGAGAGCTTGCCGCTTAAGCCCCCTCCTTATCATTGCCTGCRGTGCCTTGCCACCACACTACACAACATTCACCTACACACACRCACAAAGGAGTTGTCACGCCATATTTCACCATCATGTCTATTTCTAATAAAATGTGACCCACAATCATGTTTCTGGACATCTTTTTCACAAGAACAGGATCTTCATAAAAGCCTTTGATGAATGATGACTACCCACACCTACCTGAGAGCAGCCCGAGGATGCATGTCCCCTCTAAGATTCAAACCCAGTTCTTTCTAATTAGTGTGAAGAGATGAGAGGGGGAGAGCAGAAGAGGTAGCTGCCTCCGTTCTACCTCTAAAGCCCAGCAGACGTACAAACAGAAGAGCTGTCACATTCCCCTCAGAAAAGAGACCAGCCAGCTCTAAAACATTCAGCAACAGCTYAGGGGTGATTTTTGGTGTCAGAAACTTTCTGGTGATTACTCCAGACCTAGTTACCTTTTCTATAATATTATTATTATTTCATTTCCTACAGACGTGGGTCTCATTTTCTCAAGTTTAAAGAGTGTTTGAGGGTTTGAATGAGGATAAAGTTTTGATGAAAAATAGAGTTCGAGGTACAAAGGAGTGATCTCTGAACATGAAATGGGAGGAAAGATGAAAACAGGGAAAACATTAATGACTTTGCCTAGTTTAAGGAATTCTGTGAAAGATTCATAAAGGAGCTAATGTGACACAATCCAAAGTTGTTGCAAGCTATTGGCATGGGAACTGTCAGATTGTAAAAGTTCAAAAAGCCTTATCAYTATCCTTTACAACACAATCATGATATGGCATATGAGTCTAATATAGCAAACTTTGATCAGTATTTACAAGGGATTTGATCTTACCTAATCTTTGAAGTGCCGTTTAGATCCAAACTGCACCCTAATCCTGGAGCTGTTCTGTAACTAATGGAATAAATCTCTCATAAARTATTTCATTTTTAGTGTGTTTACCCCAGTTTTTCTGCTTTTTTGATTAAGTAGATGTGCTTATTACAAAAGTCAACTAAAGGAGAACATGGCATCCTAGTATTCTTTTTTAAATCAAGTGAATGCTTAATAACTGTCTAATTATTGTCCAAGAATTCCATCATTACTGAGAACGCTGCAGGGCTGAAGAGTGGAAAAAGATAGCCGAGAGCAGGAGAAAATAGACGTGGACCAAAAAATGCTTCAGTGGTGTGTGTGTGAGTGTGTGTGCAYTCGCTAACGCCTGACGACATAAGCACTAATTGCAGCCGAAGCCTGCTAGTGTTGMGCGCACAGGAATGGCATGGCCAGAATGTGAGATGAAGCTATAAGAGGCTGGGGAGAGGAAAAGAGAGTTGCAGAGCCAAGCGAATGCCAAGGACATTAATGAGGGCCAGACGAGTTCTTCTGCTCAAGAACACTGCAGTGAGCAGGAGGGGCMAGTCAGAGAATGAGGGGAATAGATAAGAGAGCAGCAGAGAGGGTTCATTACAGAACAATGTTAAACTAGTATTTGCAAACTTGAGCAAACATGACTTTGTGTCATGTATTCAAACATCCAGAAATTGTCAAACCATGTCCATGACAAAATAAAGATATTAAAGGCCTAGCTTTCTTTGAAAGAATGCACGTCACATGTTCATGCCAGAGTTTTACACTAAGATCATCTAATGCTGAGAAATGATGCTGTTAGGATGGTTTTGGTCAAACCTTTACAATAYGTAAAATCTCAGGCAATATTGCAATAAATTGCATTTAGGGGAGCAACAATACATGTATCTGTATCAAACCATTCAATACAGTGCTTTAGGTTCATTACACACTATGTATCAAACARTACAGATTGGTAAAATTTATTTTATTAGCTTGCCTTCTGTAGAAGTGCTGGGCTGAAGGATCAGTGGATCTGTGTTCGACTACTCCACCTAGGCTGCATTGTTGAGTGCAGATCCACTGAGAAACTTGCTGTTTCAATAACATTTAAAGAAAAAAAATCCTGTACTTTTGAGGTTAAAAAATGGTCATAATTAATTTCAATAAATTACAAGTTAAGGGCATGGACATTTCTTTTTTTTTTAATCAAAAAATATCGAACTGTGAGACTAAAGTATCGAACCAAACCAAATTGTGAATTTTCTGTATCGTTGCACCCCTAATTGCATTAGCTATTAGGGGTTGAGAATTATCTTTTGAACGACTCTCATCTACTACCACACAAAATTTTAGCTGAACATCAGAAAAAAAGTCACTAATTACTTTTACGTTGTTGCAAATTGATTAGCTGTGGTGGCCATTTTAATTTGACATGACAAAAATTAATCAGTTGCAGATGCATAGTTATTAGATATTCCTTTCTAAAAGTTTTATAAAAACATGCCCTCTGGTTTATGAGATATATTTGTAATAGAAAGAGTTCATTCTAATTTTAATGGCAACATTTTGAACACAAATCTTGTGGCGATCAGTTTGTGCTCAGAGTAGCCTACGTGCTGGAAATGACGTCAGCTATTTGAATACAATCAATTGAGTTATGGACATTTTTTGTGTTCACTATGGTTACTTTGCTGTGATTTTAAATTGAATTGACTCTAAGGTGAAATGCAGATGTGCATTCAATGACAACTTTCTGAAACTTTCATTAATGTCCATTTAATGTTTATTGAGATATTTTGCTAACAGCGAATGGGCATTATCAACAAACACATAAAAAACCCAAACATTATTGCTTCAGCKTTGCCTTTGGCAGCTGGTGATAAAAAAATAGACAAAGAAGGAATTTTACATTGTAAGCAGCTGAATATCTGGGCTTTTTGTTGATAAATCATTGCTAATAACAGAAAAGTAAAGACGAACGTTGACGCTCTCATTATTTGTCACAAGAGGCTGTGGGATTTAAAAGTTGTTTTTGTACAAACATTAGGAACAAAAGATATCAATAAGAAAGAAAAGGAAACTAAATTAAGCTTTCTTTGTTATCAGCACAGAATATAAATCACAAGTGTTTGCCTAATTGATTCCATTACATTCCCACCTGCCTGCTGACTCTCTCATCCATCCCGACATTGTTTATCTTCATTTTAGGCGAGCTGAATGTGGAAAAAAAGTTGTTATTGGATGTGAAGTCAGCTGAAATTCATCTGATTTTGCATGCACATTAATTGCCAATTAAATGTTGCGCACAATTATCAGAAAATATCTAGTTTTGTGCCATAAACAAAGAAAAAGAAACACTTCCAAAGCCGAAGTTTACTAGTTTGAGAGATCCAAGATGGTGATATTCATTTGTTTTTAATATCACACAGGGCCACATTAGGCTTGAAGGTAATTTATGTGCAGCTTGAAATTACTCGGTGTAAGTGAGCAGGTTTACCAAGTCTTAATTGGGAAATAAATCACACTGTGACCATGGCAACAAACCCTTATAAATGGTCCTGGTAAAATGAGAGCATGCTGATAGTGTCTTAGCACGTTGAGGTGTTGTTTGTGGGTGTGTGCGTGGGTGTGTCCACTCGTGCATATGTGTTTTCACCTCCTCTACGCTCATTAGCGGAGCCGCTGTTGTGTGCTGTACACGCCATTTTG